AGGAGGATTCTTCGGTGTGAAGATCAATTAAACTGTGAAGGACCTAGCTGAGTTTTGAAGCAGTAGAGCCTGAACTCAAATACGCTTTGGATACACAAATGTTTTGGACTTAGCAGGTTGACAACTCAAAACCTCCATGCTTGAGAATTTTGTTCTATACTCTCCCTTGCCCCCATTCCTCCCCTCCCAAAATGTCTGCTGGTTTATTTAGGAGAATTAATTCTCTAAGGAGGTGCTATGTCTTTACTAGTATCTTGACATTGCTGTGCTGTTTTCTAACTACACACACCTACACTTTCAATAAAGGCTTGTCTTTACAGCTTCCCCCTTCCCACCTGCATGTGAGTGAAGGAGTCAATCTTTTCCTGTAAAAACTTTCCTTCCCAAACAAGCCATGACTGGAGAAGCAGAAGAGGAGTTAAAGGAAGGCAAACAGAGGGCCAGAGAAGGGCAGGGTAATCGCAGCACTACATGTGACATGGCAATGCTCCCTTGACCCCTGGGAATGGAGACCCAAGGCTAGGGCTACTATGTCAGGACTGCAAAACCCCAGTCAACCACTAGATGGCAGAAAAGAATTCAAGTTTTCTTGGCTGCCCTCTAGTGGTCATCTGATTCTTACAGCCTAGAACCTGGTAGCCTGGTTGTGGTGATCTTTATTCCTGAACCGCTTTTTCTTGTGATGATTTTTTTAAGGGCAAAGGCAGCTATACTTTGCCAGGACCTGCCCTTGGTACTTTGCTTAGAAAAGGTTATGGACAAACCTAAGAGAAGATGGAATCCGAGGATTAGCAGCCCAGTTTCACAGGGTGAATTAAAAGAAGAATCAAGATGATGATTTGGTCTTTTTTTTTTTATACTCTCCATAACTTGGAACAACTTTATCAGAAGTCTGAACAATCCCACCTCTTTCATTTCCAAATCCTCAGCTTCAATCTTTATTAGTCTAATGCAACCTTCCCAAATGGCAGCCTCCAGACATGCCATGACTACAGCTCCCAGAATTCCAGTCGTTGTGCTCTGGTTGCACTTGGGAAGAAAGGGGTTGGGAAGGGCTGATCTAATAGATCTAACTCAAACCAGCGTAAAATGTTTGCAAACTTACCATCATAGTATGGTGTTGTGGCTGGAAAATAAACAAATAAAATAATATATTAGTGATCTGCAGGAACGCCTCTTTTATGGCAAACTTGCAACAAATCAGAATGTAATATTTTTCTTCCCTCTAACTAATTTAAATATTGTTAGAAAGAATACTCCTTGAGAATAGATGAAAATTATACACATCTCTGTAGGGGAAAGTCTTGTTTTCGTAAGCAGTTCATTTATTAAATAAAGTTTTAGTCTCTGATAGTATAATAATGTGTTAATGCTGCTTAATTTTTAATGTTTTTATTGCTTTTACTTTCTGTTACTCTTTTAATGTTTACCTTGTTTTATTCTGTGTTTTGTATTGTATATTACAAAAGGTCTTAAGGTGTTCTTTTATTAACTGCTTTAATACATACTTCTAAACTGCAATTTTAGTTTTTAAATGTAAAGCATTTCAAGATTTCCTTTAATGGGAGTAGCATAGAAATATTTCAAATAAATAAAATAAAATAGTGTCTTTTATTTAGGGATATTCCAGGCATTTCTCATGAAGCTGGTGAATGGAAACATTTCCTGGTCCCATTTATCTGGTTGCCAGTATACGTACAAGCTAAAATGGTTAAATTCTCAGTGGTAATCCCTGAAAGGCCAAAAGGATATTAACTTTTATAGTTCAAACCTTTTGCACTGTCTTCCAATAGAGGAATTCATTCCCATGTACAATTCAACATCTGAGAAGAGGTGAGTACACAACCCTTCTCCTTATCTTGTATTGGAGATGCCACTGAAAACCCAGTTCCCTTACATGGCAGCTGATCCCACATTATCAGGATTTCAGCTTCTATGTTTGTAGTTACCCAAAGATCCCTGCAGTGGCTTTTCCTGTTTTTCTGGGTAATAAAATACAGTAGCTATGCATACACATTCATGTTCAGTCAGCCAGAAACGTAACCTGAAACAGCCACCTGAGTCTAAAAAAAGACATAGCTGCTTTAATGATTTGGGGAAAAAGTGCTTTATACATGTTCCCATGAATTCTCAAGCTCCTCTTTCAAAGATTTGTACATCTCTCTTAATCCTACAGAAATAAGTCTCTGACTCACTTCACCTGAGTGATTCTCACACTGGAGGAGGATTGATGTGGTTCACACAGGGACTGTGGTTCAGTCCAAAGCCAGTTGCCTCAACAATCAGTTCTCCATTTGAATTGGTGCATGATGGATGAGTCACATGACCCAGTTCACATAATAAGGCAATTGAAAAAGAGTCAGGATGATGCTGGGAGACGTTATCTGTGCTCTGTCACTATCACATATTTGAAATTATCATTGAGACAAATTTAGAAGGAAATTTGCTTCAAGGATTAAAAAAGGATATTGCTACTGCCCGAGGATGGAACGGCACAGGCTTCCATGCCTAAATGGAAGTAATATATACTCCGCATCTACCGTATGGTCTGCTTATTCTGGCCATCTGGAGAGAACTATATCATCTGAGGAGGACTATGGGCAGTAAAAAAATGTGCAAGCATGGCAGTATCACCAGAGTGACTCATAACATATTGTAGAACAGCAGCAGCAACAATGCCATTTAGAAAAAGCAAAGGACTTACTGGTAGAAGTTACTTCTGTGGTGGTGGTTGTTGTTAATTCTATTGCAGAATTACCTGTAGAAACAATAATATAATCACAGTTTAAATGAGTTTAGATAACATTGCAAAAAAAAAAAAAAATCCAGTTAATTTTGAATGAATAAATCATGTAAACCAGAAGGCACAAGTGAATGTTTACGAACTACTCTGACAACCAAACCCTAACAATATAACCAACTGTATCTCATGCCTCATTTACCTTACCCGTTTTATACATTGGTCAAATAAACAATTATGATAAAGAAAATAATGCAGAGCAAGAATGCAGCTCAAGTTACATGTGTGTATAATAGCAATGAAGTACAAAAAACATATAAATTCTTCTCTCTCTGCCAAACAGAAGAGGATGCAAACCCAAATCCTCTTTAGTTGGTTTGGATAATATAAGGCAAATTTTCTCTTCCCGTAGCTGCTATCGAAAAATGGCTTCAAGCAGGCAAAATACTATGTCCAGAAGCCCAAACGAACAGGTTGATTAAACTAAAATTCAGGAATTGCCATGTAGGTTCAGTCCTAGATCCTGTACTGTTCAAAAAAGCTTGGTTAATAGGCAGGAAATGAATAAAGATTCAAAGTGAGGAGCTCTGATCACTGAAAGATTCTTAATAACTTAAAAAGACACCCCAAAATTTGTAGAGAGTGGTATACAAGCTAAACCATATATTTGAAGTAAAACTCTGTAATAAGAGAAAAACAGATTATATTAACTTGCAGAACTTGGAAGTTTAAGGGATGAGCAGAGTTCATTTTGCTGTATTGTAACATTTAAATATACAATGATTCATGATATAGTTTTCTATAACATTAAATTCTATAAAGTTAAATTCCTATAAAGTTAAATATACAGTGATTCATGATATACTTTCCTATAAAGCTAAATTCTATAATTCAGATCAGTTGTAAAACTTTATATGGAATCAGATCACTGTTTCATTTGCTTTCTAATAGTGAACATATTTAACTGAAGATACACAGAATGCAGAGGGTTGATGAGATTCAGTTTTAGCTGTGCCCTTTTGGGGAACTTTGCAAAACAGTCCCATTTTGGGGAACTTGGACGAAGAAACCTAACCCATCTACTACACTCTATGGCAATCACGCTGGAGAAGATTAGGCATAGAGGTTACCTGAAAGCACTAACAGCACCATCCAAGAGAGCATCACCATGGTCTCCATCTTCCCAACACGTCTCTCCAGGGTGCAGGCACAGCAACACCTCAATTTAAAAGCTTGTGATAATGCATAGGTGTGGTTCTCTACTTCATTCACTTTGCCTTTGTCATAATTTTATGATGATGTGTTTGATTTATCAATCCTCAGTTTACTTGTACATTTTCTTTGTCTGCCAACAGGTATAACATTACAGTGATAACAATTTTCCATGACCTATAGAGAAGCATTACTCCACACACACACACACACACACACACACACACATAAAGATTACTTCCTTTGATTGTAAACTATTTCCCTGTGATAAAAAAAAGCTCTTGAGCTGTGCCCCAGATTGTAGAGTCCAAAGAACAAACTCTAACCAGGCAAAATCAACTCAGTTGAAAAGATAGAATAGACCTGCATAATCTGAAGTCTCTCATGGTCATGGGTCAGCTTTCAAAGGCCATCAGCAGTTGTTGCCAAAGCTTAAATATTTAAGGGGGTGGAGAGGAAAATTATTATTTGTTGTGTGTGTGAGACTCATTTTTTAAAAAAATATGAAATTCCATCATAAACATACAGTATAGTTACTTTACATTCTTGAAGCTGATAGTAAAGAATAAAGGGAATAAATACAGAAAAGGGAGATACCAAAATAATGTAAAAAAGTAAAACTTCATAAGGAAGATAGGTCGTTTTCCTCTTCCATTGTCCCTAGCTATTTATCACCACTTAAGTATTTATACTTTTCTTGAAATATTGGAAATTGTTGCTTATATTTATTTAAATCATTTCATATGATGTGTTTTAGTTGATCTTTCAACTCTTTTTCTCAAAAAGTGTATTCCAAATATCTAAACCTGTAGGGCAAAATTCTTATATAGAGAATAATGATATTTACTTTCTATTTACTATAAACATGCCATTCAACAGCCTCACCTCAGTTTAGATAAGTAAGGTTTTGACTCAAGGGCGACCCAACGTTGTTTAAAAAAAACGCAAGAAGAGAATCACCATGATACCTAGGCAAACTGCATCTCAGTCACTGATACTATAAAAAGCCGCATTCATCACTGTCCACAAGTAGCAACTCCACTTACATTTTTTTAAAAATATGGGTGCATGGAGGAGGGGAGGGCAATTGTCTGAATTCTTGGGAAGAAATATGAACATTTAATCCAGCCTGAACATCATAGTAATTCCCATAGATTAGAATTGTGAGAAGGCCCTGTTTTAATGTCAAAAGGGTTGTTTCAAGTGCAGAACAAACACCCTTCTTTCGTTTCAAGTGAGGAAAAAAACCCTGCCATTACAAATGTCATGCTTCACTTTTCTGTGCTTGGGCAATATAATTGGGCAATGTAACTGGAATTCATCTTTCCCATTGCTGCACCTTGCTCATGTTCATGTGCGCTGTTGGTGCAGTCCATGATGTATTTGCCTGTAAAGAGGGTGTGTGTGTGTTGTCTGTATATCTTTGTTTTTAACAAAGGATTTGTGCATATCTTGTGATTTCTTTTTTGTTCTGTGAAGGGTGTTTTAGGTTATAAAAATTGTACTTAGGCAGAAAAGCTCCTCC